CTAATTGCAATTAATTGCCAAGGTTCTCAGGTGCATCACTACCGCAGAATCAGACACTTGACCAGGCACATGACCAGGAAGCAACACAGCATTTTATTAATTAGACACAATTAACTGTGGCAAGTTCCACTATTGAATGGCCATGTCTAGAACAGCACCAGACATCACACCATTTGTAGAGTGAAAAATCAATGAGATTCAAAAGACCTTACTTGTGCTTGGACTGTGTTCTCTCATTAAGCAGCAGCATGAAGGGCACCAGTCAGTACTGTGCATGTAAAATGCGAGTAAGTAAATAGGTGCCACCTCGGTGGGAACGTAATGGCGTTCCGTGTCTAGTTGCGCTGTCCATGTGACTACGGAAGATTGTCTTCAGACAAACGCTGGCTCTATGGCTTAGAAACAGGGATGAGCACCGTGCCCTAGAGTTGGACACAACTGGACTAAATGTCAAAGGGAAACTTTACCTTTACCTTAACTACATTTATGATAGTAATGCTGCTGCAAAGTGACAGAAAGTATTCTCTATTTCTTACTTAATTCATTAATTAACTTTGTAATTAAATAATTATTTTAATTACATAAATGCAATTTATACTACATGACTGAGCATGAAAAACAAATTAAAACTAAATTTTAAGTTTATGTGAGATGTAATAAATATATGAGAACAATTAAGTATTTCCTCTTAAGACATGAAGAAGCAGGTGTTTGTCTTTTTATTTCCATTTTAAGAGGGATCGAGATTTGAAAACTGTTTGCATTAGGATTATACCAAGAAGAGTAAGTTGGGTCTGTAAAAGCCAGCTGACAAGGGTAGAAGCTTTGCTGAACAAGAATTTACAAGTTAGGGTTTTGTTTGTTTTCTTTTAAAATGTTTAATATATTTTATATGATTTTAATATTTTCAGCTGTATGTTTTATGTTTTATAAGCCACCCATAGTAGTGGCATGCTCACTAAATGTGTGTGTGTAAGTAAGTAAGTAAGTAAGTAAGTAAGTAAGTAAGTAAGTAAGTAAGTAAATAAGTAAATAAATAAATAAATAAATAAATAAATAAATAAATAACAATTTGCTCCCAGAAGATGGAATCTTTGCCTATCATATATGATTATTCTTGAGGAACACAAAAGCAATAGTCCTTATTCTCTCAGTTATCCCCTCCTGCAGGCACATACCAGCACTATACAGTTAGCCCTATGGAGAAAACTTTGTAGTAATCCAGACATGCAAGAAGAATGTGCAGCCATGAAGTCATACGGGTACAACTTCTAGGACTATTGCCAGAATTGTCTAAATAATGTATTTGAAGAGTTCTGAGCATTTAAAGCATTACTATTACTTGTACTGATACGTAAAAGGGAACTACAGGAACTACAGTGGGGTCTTGACTTAAGAACTTAATCCATATTGGAAGGTGGTTCTTAGGTCGAAAAGTTCTTATGTCAAATCTGCATTTCCCATAGGAATACATTGAAAACCATTTAATCCGTATCTGCTCTTTTCGTCCATAGAAACTAATGGGAAGCTGCTATTCTGCCTTCTGCCACTAGAAGGGGATAATTTTTTTCTTTTTTCCTTTTAACCTAAGATGACTTAGCTTTTAAAAAAAAGGAAAGAAAAGAGTTCGTAACTCAAATCTAAGTTCGCAAGTCGAGTCCATATATTCCTATGAGAGCGGTTCGTAAGTCAAAACGTTCGTATGTCGAACCGTTCGTAAGTCAAGACCCCACTGTACCCTACAGATAGTATGATGATGGCTTTCTGATGCCTTTTTCTTTTCTAACCCTTCTTTCAGGCTATTCCATGCATATTTTCAGTGCATAATAGAGGAAACTGGGCAGCCTCAGATCATCAGCCAGCTTTCCCTAAAGCTGAAACAAGCTGGCAAGTGATTCATGAGATCTCCATACGTTTCTGTTTCCTGCCATAATGGGAATCTTCTCTATTAGTGGTCAAGCTCTCTCTCAAATAGTTATGCTAGTGCAATTAGATGGGTATGTTGCTTGACTGCTACGCATGGGGAACTGAAAGCAGTCTTGACCCTTGGGATCAAGTTCAGCTCAAAGGCACACAGCAACCGCTAGTACTCTGCTGACTGAAGCCGGCAGGATTGCAGTCCTTTTAATGCAATACAGTACATGTTTCCAACAAGGGCAGCTCTCTTCTCATAGCATTGCTAGAGCAGAGCTTGGGAAATTGCTTTTGAAAAGCAATATATACAGTTAAAACTTCCAGGGTCCCCAAAGTTATCTAGTTGCCATTTTATGCATCTCTGTCTGCATCAGCTCTCTGTAGCAAGTTCAGTAGTGACGACATGCTTTCTTGGGTGGAGATGCTCATGTTAGCTTTGAGTTTTACTTATCTGGCCAAAACACTCATTTCTGCATGTTGAACCCATGTTTTTGCTTCGTGCTTTAAATGTGGAGACTGACTTGAAAGTGATACACAGCCCTAAAATGTGACATATAAATACGTAAAAGAAAGAAATATGATCATTCATAAATCTAAAATTAAAAAAGTGGTCCATGGCCCAATCCCTAGTATTCCTTTCCCTTAACAGAACACTTAACAAGTAACATATGTGTAAGAAATGCATTCTGCTGGATCATAATTACGGTGTAATTGAATAACTGACACCAAAGGTTACTTCTATATAATAAGGTAGGAACTTTTTCTGCCAGGAGAGTATTAAAAAGCAAGAAATGGTTTCTTTCTATCATTTATTGTAATCTGCTTTCCATCACCAAGTGTAAATATTTCAAATTACAAACCCGGTCTTATTCAGGAGTGATATTATATTGCTTTTCTTTCTGACAACAGGAATTCTAAACATAGAGCCATCTATATTCTGTGTTTTATAATCTTTTTGGTTTTTAGAAGTTCTTAAGATGGTTTATTGATTTTTGTTATAAAGGGGATCCTGCTGTATACAAAGCAGCTGCAAACTTCTACAGTCTAATGTCTTCTACAATCTACAATCTAAACAAAGGGCATGATCCTATGAGCACTTATCCGGCTGTTTGATGTGCTGCAGGGATAGGTTGGTTCACCCAAAGGTCTACTCAGGGCAGTTTCAATACATGCAGTTGCCGGGAATGGACCAAGAAGCAAGCCTTAATCTGTTCAGGCTCTCCTGCTGTCAATTTCCAGTATTGCCACTTCACAATATTATTAGCAAGGTGAAAAGTTCCTGCTAATGCGGGATAGGCAAAGTTATTTTTTTAACTCTGCTAGACCATTGTTGATGTGCTGCATCATTCAGATTAAAGTTTTAAAGTATTTTTTCTTCACCTTGTCAGAAGTGCCACTTGAGAAACTGCCCACAGCTGGAACAGATCCAAATGACATATTGCACCTCCACAAGATCTCAAATGACCCTATTTAGGCTGCACTACCGCACTCCAAAAAGGACCAGTGTAGATGAGTCCATAATACCTATAGCCTTCTTCCATCTTTTAGTTATTTCAGTTTTACTTGACCATGTGGAAGCCGATCGTCATAGCACCATTCCACATGGTTGTGGCACACAAAGTGGTTATTCCCACCTATCAGCTCTTTCTAGTTCTGGAATGTGTCTATGACCAGTATTCAGAAATATGATTATCATTCCTACAACTCTCCCTGTACCCCCAACATTTGCTTTGTAAGCTTGCAAAACTCTGTTCAGAGCTGGGTTTGGAGCAAGGGAGATCACAGGGAGAGTAAGGCAATGTCCACCCAGTGCTTTCCACAAAACCTCACATTAAAATATATATTAAAAAGTTAGTCTTTAAAGTGCCACCACATTTTTTATCTTCTTTTACTCTCTATTTTTATTTTGTTTCACCTGTAATGCTTGCACAGAGTAACATGGTCGGCTACCCCTTCTACAACTACTGCACAGATTATTTTTGATATAACAGGTTTCAATCTTTCAGCTGTTATTATGCATTGTAAGTAGCTTCTAATCCTAAACAGGTTTTCAAAATATGTCAGATATTCAATAAGTGGTGTACCACTACCAGTCCTCCAGGAGTTTTCATAGCCAAGTGGGAATTTAAATGAAAGATCCCTGAATGTTGGTTTGACACTCTATGCACTACACCAAACCAGTTCTTATATTAATTCAATAGAGCTGCTCTACTTGGCAGTACTAATTGGATTGAGCCCTAAATTACCAGTTCAGGAGAACAACAAGTATACTATTCTGAAATTCTTAGACGAGTTTCTGCTAAACTATGAAAACATCCTATTAGAAATGGATGCAGGAGAAACAACTATGTGTTCGACCTACAATTACCATAGCATTGTTAACATTGTACAAAACCTTATATATAGATACCATCAGTGGTGTCTTTCCTTAGTTGGATTCGTATGGCAACAGTTCTCCATACCCATTATACCCCACACACTCTATGAAAGAGACCTTTGAAGAGCGTCCAGCAGCTTCAGTTGGCATAAAATGCAGTTTTAACCATTATAATTATAAGTGGTTCAAGGCTTGCCTGCCTGTGTGACTCCCTGTACGGCAGCTACAATTCTCAGGAGAGGTCCTCCTGAGGACAATGTTGCCTAAAAAGACCCATTTGTTGGCCACACAGAAAATATCATTCATGTTCCTTCCAGACTGAGGAATGCATTCCCTTTGGAATTATAACCGGCTCTTTTGGCCTTCAGAAAGGCACAAATCTTTAGCCTGTTACTCTGTTTTTATCACTAGATTTTTTTTCATATCACTAATGTTTTTATGGTTTTATTTTAAAGTTACTATGAGCTGCCTGTTGGCATTTGGCAAAAAGGGCAGCATAAAATATTAAATAAAGAAATAAATCCCAGCTAAAACAGGGATAGAACTGTGTCTCACGACATTAAATTTGACAGTTTTAGGTGCTATGTGAAGAAGTATTTTTGTTGTCTGCCTGTTGTCTTCTACCATTCCACTTCAATTGGACAGGAGGATAGAAATTCACAGAAATTCTCCAAAGGCAGAGCCTCTGTATAAGTCATTGCTCCTATAAATAAAGAGATACTACTTTAACAAGCAATTCCATAAAATCTCATTTAGTATTTCAGTTTCAGGGGCAGTTACATATATGAATATGGAAATAACATATTTACAAAGTTTTTATTGTGGTACTATTTATAATTCCAAAGATTAATAGTCACAAAGTGCAATTATACAAAAAAATACTTTCTGAGAGGAAAATAAAGTGAAGACGTGTCCATACTTAATTATTACCTCTCCTGTCTGTCTGAGAGATATTGCTTGATACAGTTATTTAAAGGCACAGGCCTTTGTCCCAAATGGAATAGACTTGCTGACTCAATTGCTGAACAGTAAGCCAACACTCGTGTAAATCCCATGACTTCACCAGGTCTACACTGGTTGAGGCTAGCAAATGGATTTAGGCTATGAAGACTTACTAGCTAATCATTCATAGCCCTATTAATGCCCCTCCTCCCAATTCAGCAGCTATAAGGACATCCATTGCCAGCAGTGGATTCCATTCTTGGAGGTTCTCAGTGAAGATTCAAAACTAAAAATGAGAGAAATAATCACTATGATTTTAAAAAATAATTGAATTCACGATTTTCATGTCCTATTTTCCTTGGCATCATCACCTAAGGGTCTTGACTCACAATCTGTTAACTGCAGATTAATTGTATTAAAATTGTGTCTCATTGTCAGCTTGAAATTTGGGAATAAGTACCCATTCCACATATGCCACCTCTGGATATACTTTAGATAACCATGTGTGGATGTCATATCAAGAAGAACAATGTTTAAACCTAAACCCAGAGATAATAGCATTCTTAGGTCAGCCAATGGACAACGCGTGCAGCATTGTGCAGTTGCTTATCAACCTTCCATGTACAATGATACAGAGAATCACAATCATAGTGCCTCAAAACCCAAGGTAATGGCCAGGATCCTGTTGTGGATTTCTGTCCATTTAAGTATAATTGTGTAAATCATGGCAGCAGATTAAAGAGTTCCTGCTCACATTCCTAGCTGCTTGCCAGCTGCACGGCTTGGCACATGCCTAAAAATGCAAGCAGCAACTTGTTAATTAGCAGCGATTTGCTGCAACAATTTATGCAACTATACACTTACACCGTGTAACAGGATTTTGGCCAATGTGAGTTTATCCTAGCATACAAGACAGTCTTCGTCAGCTCATGATGCACAGGCCACTGCCCTGCTCCTAGCCTTTAAGTAATTTGTTAGAAGGCTGTGAGCTTACGTAACCTCAAAATTAAACTTCCTCCATTGGAATCATCTTTCCCAGTTTCAATAGAATGATGAATACCATTAATCTTGACAGGATTAATGAAAATATGCTTTCAGAACTGCAATTCTTCCACAGAATTAAACATAACCAAACCGAATGATTTGTCACTATGTTGTCATCACAGCTTCAGAGATGGAAGTAAAACTTCTAATTCTTTCTCTGCCTCTTGATCCTTTAAAAGAAAAAAAGGAGAGAGAAAAGCACTAAACTTACAGAACTGTATTTGAAGACACCTGCTCCCACATAGTATTATTGGATCCAATGCTAGTTTGTGAAGCAAAGAGATTATTTTCAATGCAACATAAGTTCAGTTTTCCTTTTAGCCATTACACAAAAGCAACATATCCAAGCAAACTAAGGGGCAGGAGTGGGTGAGAAGAAATTCTAAACTCACACAATGCTTTTCTCCTTTCCACCTTCCTCGCAAATATGTGCACTGAAGTATTCATTGCATACACACCTAATGGATGTAATTAAGGGTTTTCATCCTCAAGCTGTCTCCTCTGGAGGCGGTTCCAGTGAACCCAGTGTTCCTGGGGCCTGACATTCGCAACCTATATTTTTTCACTACTGTATTTCTAGAATATCAAAACACAGGTATTCAGAGGGCCAGTTCAAACCATTCCAGGAGTTTTGCTTCTCTTGGAGTGGTTTCCATTTTGATCTTATTTGGCACCCTTTACGAAGTCAGTCTTCAAGCTCAATGCAGAAGGTAAATGCTGGGTGGCACATCTTTCAATGCCAGCTTGTTTTCATGAATTCCCTTTCAGGTATAGACTGCTCAAACCACTCAATTACATCAGTAATCAGGTGGGGCAGGGGGAAGTTAGTTCTTATGCTGTAGTTAGAACTAACTACAGCACTGGACATAAGTCATAATACCGAGAAAACATACCTGTTAAGAGTATGGAGTTCAACAGCTGCAATTTCCCAATATTTGGGAGTTTGAAAAAACATGGAACGTGAAGATCATTTTGCTTACTCAATAAGTATTTATTTGTTAACGCTATTCATATGATTATATTCTGAGATCTTTCCTATGCAGCCAGGTAGATATTTGTATGTACATCTTCGGTGGATTGCCCAACTGCACTCCTATCTTGATGTTGGGGCACTCACCACTCTGGTCTATGCGCTTGTAGTCTTGAGACTGCGCTCTACATGGGGCTACCTTTGAGATTCATGCAGAAGCTTCAAATGGTGCAGAATGCAGCAGCCAGATTTCTCACAGGGATGAGAAAACATCAGCATATCTCCTCCACTCTGGCTGCTTCACCTTGGCTGCCTGTTCATTTCCACATTGATTTCAAAGTATTAATGATGACATTTAAAGCCCTAAACAGTTTAGGACTTCATTATCTAGCAGAACACCTTCTCCCACCTAGATCTACCTGAATCACTCGCTTTAGCCAGGATGGATGGCTGAGAGGCCTAACATCAAGGGAGGCCCGGAGAAAAAGAAGAGGAAATCGGACCTCCTTCTCAGCAGTGGGCCCTCGCCTCTGGAACAGTCTACCCTCAGAAATTTGCCTGGCTCCCTCACTGGGTGTTTTTAAGAGCAAACTGAAGACCTGGCTCTTTGGGCAGGCTTTCCCCCTTAATTTATTTCTTGCTTTCTTTCTTGAATTGTATTAATGCTGTTGTTTTATTTTATACTGTTATTATTTGGACTGCTGTTAGCCACCCAGAGTAGACTTCGGTGTAGATGGGTGGGGTACAAACAAACAAAGTAAATAAGTAAGTAAGTAAACTAGTCACTAGTTTCACAGCTGGTGAGAGTGTACATATATCTTGGCAATGGGCCTTACTGGGGTTGTACTCTGACAATTGTCAATCTCATACACTCAGATTAAAGAAGACGACGCACAGGGACACAAGACACTGGTGGTCCAAACAGGTTTTAACAGTGCAATAGTATTAACGTTCAGCAGACCTGTGATCCTTTAGCATAACAGTTCCCAACCTTGTTGTTGTTGTTGAGTCGTTAAGTTGTGTCTGACTCTTCGTGACCCCATGGACCAGAGCATGCCAGGCCCTCCTGTCTTCCACTGCCTCCCAGAGTTGGGTCAAACTGATGTTGGTAGCGTCAGTGACACTGTCCAGTCATCTCGTCCTCTGTCGTCCCCTTCTCCTCTTGCCTTCACTCTTTCCCAACATCAGGGTCTTTTCCAGGGAGTCTTCTCTTCTCATGAGATGGCCAAAGTATTGGAGCCTCAGCTTTAGGATCTGTCCTTCCAGTGACCACTCAGGGTTGATTTCCTTTAGAACGGATAGGTTTGTTCTCCTTGCAGTCCAGGGGACTCTCAAGAGTCTCCTCCAGCACCGCAATTCAAAAGCATCAATTCTTCGGCGGTCAGCCTTCTTTATGATCTAGCTCCCAACCTTAGGTCCTCAAATATTCTTAGATTATATCTCCCAGAAGCCTTCAGCACTAGCTGTGCTGGCCAGGATTTCTGGGAGTTATAGTCCAAGAACATCTGGGGACCCAAAGTTAGGAACCACTGTTTTAGCAGATCCTTGATATTTTAGGTTCCTGGTGAAGCAGTCTAGCAAACACCAGATAATGCATCATTCTGTAGCAGTGGAATTCTCTTGACAGAGCAATTTAATATTTAGATGTCACAAGGATAAGAATACGAAGAAGTAGTAAGTTAGTGAGCAACCAAGCCATGTGAAGCAGGGCACTTAGTATTTTTGTTACAGATATTAGAAAACATGGGAAGAAATGTTGATCACATGTACTTGAAAAAACTTTTATAAGAAGAGAAAATAGAACAATTGTTTATGCTACTATACAAAACAAATCAGCACTTTCAATCATCCCCAGCTGCCCAAATGCAGAATAGAGAGTAATATTGGTCCTGATTTACAGAGGCTTGTACATTGATTACTGAGATCATGCAAGTTAAGTGCATGGAATACATGAAGTGTGTTATATAATGCTTTCACACTGCTGTTATATTTATTAAAGGTGTGTGAAGCTTCTGTGTTATTTTCTATACTTTCTGTCCGATACACAGAAAGCACAAACCACCTTATAAATTAAAGGTAAAGAAAACGGCAGGTCTTGCCCATACAGAAGTTTATGGGCACAATAATATTGTGCATAGGTTTGGAATGTCCCCTGTAGAATTAAATTGCAACAAAACAGGATTAAGATAATCATGTAATCAGGAAGAATTACATAGCACAACACACCACCTAAGAAGGTTCTAAAATCTCATGTCTTTAAGAGAAAGCTGGGCAGAGAGGTAACAGGGACCCATTTGCTTGTCTTAGAATACTGGATTTGAGTCCACCTACATGATCTGAGAGAGCTGTCCAATATCATTATGTGTCAATAGAACTTGGAAAAAATCACATTTTTGCATGACAACACCCAGCCATAATCCAAAAAAACTAAATTTTGTTCATGTAAGCTTCCATTTGAGCGGTTCTCAACTTCAGTGAGACAGAACTAGCCTAGCAATGCCTTGAAAAGGATTAATTGCAACCATTATGAATCTTTGCCAAAATACTGTCAAGAACAGGAAGAGGTATGAAATTGTTTTTTGCTGTAAGTAGCTCTTGTTACCCAGAATCTGCACTACAGAATTATACATTTCACAGTTTTAGCAGAGAGATATAATTACCCTGAATCAAATAGGTTTCCTTCTCTCTTTTATTTCCACATGCATTTATCACATATTTTGCATGATAGGACTTCAGGCTTGGTAAGCGTTTAACAGTGCTACAGGGTACGTGACCAATGAATCACCCATAGCAATTCCAAAACACACAACTTCAAGAGTTAGCAGCAACTCTTGTGATCAATATGACTAATTGTGCTGCACGCTGCCCAGTTCCTCATTAAAATAAGCATCACAGGCACAACAGTCATCTGTTTAAACAGCATTTCATAATATTAGTGCTTACCCATGTTACACATTTTCAGTATGTTATTGCAACCAGCTATTTCAAGGATGCCACAAGATGCTACTTTACATGCAACTGCTTTATTTTGTAAGATTTTGAACATGGGAGTTCTCTTTTTCTTCCACTCCTATATTTTTGTTGGTTCTTCTCTAAAGTCCCTACTGACTTAGTGAGCTGCATACATCCTGCCTGCCTGCACTGTCATGGCCAAATGTGGGACAGAAACAGCCTTCATATCCTGACCTTAAAGATGTAAAATTTCAATAATATTTTAAGCCAGAATTGTTTGTGGGGTTGTGGAGAGAGGAAAAAGAATGATTTGGGGTGTAGGGAGAAATTGAAATACATGCAATACTTATATCAGTGGTTCCCAAACATTTTTAACTCACAGCTCCCTTGCCTTACTGGCCACTGACTGCAGCTCCCCCAATAAGATATTGGGTGAGGGTTGGAGAAGGGAGGGGGAAGCCCAGCCTGAATAGTACTTCAGCTGATTCCATGGAAGTACTTCTGATGCCTCTGGCTGGGTTTGGTGGGAAACACTGACTTATATTTATATCAAATCTAAAACTGATTTTACTGCTTCAGCAACTTAAAATACAGTGGTGCCTTGCTTTATGATTGCCCTGTTTAACGACGAAACCGCATTACGATGAACTTTTTGCGGCTGACGAAACTGCATTACGATGAACTTTTTGCGACTGCTTTTGCGATCGCAAAATGGTGTTTCGTATGGGGGAATTTCGCTTTGCGATGATCGGTTCCCTGCTTCGGGAACCGATTCTTCGCAAAACGACGATTTTCTAACAGCTGGTCAGCGGTTTCAAAATGGCTGCTGAGTAATCAAAATGGCCCCCCTTGCTTTCTGGGATGGATTCCTCGCTGCACAGGCAGCAAAATGGCCACCCTGTGGAGGATCTTCACTGGACAGTGAGTTTACAGCCCTTTTGGTTTTTAACGCGTTTCAAAGGGTTTTTTCTTTTCGCATTACGACGTTTTCGTTCTACAGCGATTTTGCTGGAACGAATTAACGTTGTAATGCAAGGCACCAGTGTAGTTCATTGGTATCTTACTAAATTGTACTATATGGCAAAATTATGAAATGGAAAAGGATAAACATCATTGTTTTGTTTAAGATGAATTGTGAATTTATCGATATATTAAATAGCTGCAAATTGGTGCCCCCTGTGCCTTGCAATCCACAAGCAATAAAGCCCTCCCTGAAAAGCCTCTCTTGTTAAGATGGAAGCATATATGTAGTTCCTGTATCCCCACTTTTTCACTGGAGACCAAGGCCAAGATCATCCACACTATGGTACTTCCTATTATGATCTGCACATATAAAGGCTGGACAATTAAGAGAGCTGACAGGAAAAACAATGATTTATTTAAAATTTTGTGAAAGAGACTTACAGATACAATGGATCACTAAAATTACAAATAAATGGGTTCTACATTGGATGAAGCTTGAACTCTCACAAGGATGGTTAAAATGATGCTATCGTGAGCTGCAGATGAGAAAACAAGACTCACTCAAAAGACAATAATGCTAGGAAAAGAGGAAGGCAGTACACCTAATCATAAGATGGACTGAATGAGGTAAGTCAGGCTTTCAGTCTGCAAATTCTGGGCAAGGCTATGAACGATAACACCATTTGTACATCATTGATTTATAGGTCTGGCCTAAGGAAGAAGCAGTTCAATGGCACATAACAATTCTGTAGATCCTCGCATACAAATTTTCATACTATGCAATTTCTCCTTGAATTCTGACTTAAAAATAAACCATGTCTCCTTCCAAAAGGAAAAAAACAACACATTTCATCCGAATGTTTTTCTATTGTTGTTATGTGTCATCAAGTTGGAATTGACTTATAGCAATCCTAATAACACTTTCAAGATAAGTGATATATTTAAGGAGCGGTTTTTCAGTTCCACACTCCCCGAGTCCTAATCAATCACTCTATCCACTATACCACACTACTTACTGTATCTAGTATTTTTCTAGGTTCCCCTAAATTTCCATTTTTTTTCCTACGGAATACCTGAAAATTTGTCCTTGGGTCGGGGAAGGAGAGGAATGATTTTTTTTCTCCTCTGGGCCTTCAGATCTTAAGGCAACCTACACTGTTCTAACAGTTACATGCAGTTGGTGATACCAGAGAATCAGGCCCAAATGGAAATATTTTGCATCACCAGCCACAAAGTAACCCACAAACTGTGCTTCAGACTCACCTCTTTGGTCACTGACAGAAGTGACAGCGCAGATTCACAGCACTGCAAGGCATTGGTCCTCTGGCCAAGGTCTTTGTAGCACTGGGAGTTAAGGAATGAAAGGATGACCACAACAGGCATTTAGTATGACTCGTGCATGAAAAAAGGATAGGAAAGCCAAACGAATTTCAGTTACCTTTGCCATATAGACATAATTCTGTTTAGAATATCCAGGATGAATTTCTTCAGCCTGAATACAAATACAAATGAGAAAGAGGTGAACCACATCGCAGCAAGACAATGCCAAGTCATTGTAAGGTTTCTAATGAAGCACACAGACCCCCCCCCTCCCAAAAAAAAAAAGCCTAGGGGAAAAAGAATTGAGAGAGAGCAAATGGTTTCACACATAAACCCGCACATTCCCTTGTTTATATTTCAAGATGCAGATGGAAATTGTATTTTAATGACATTTATGTTTCAGCTATATCCTGCCTTATTTGTTAATTCACTTCCTATTCATTATATCCAGTAAACGCCAGGCAGTATACACGACTCATCTCCTCCTTATGGCAAGCCTATGAGATATGACAGGTGGACAAAAGGTGACTTACATAAGGACACCCTGTGACTTTCAGGGTTAACTGAAGACTAGAGATTGGATCTCCCATGTCTCAGTGCCACATGTTCACCATTGCACTACCATCATGGCGCAGCGTCACACTTTTTTCCCCCCTTGACATGTATGCCAAGCACCAAATGATATAAACCGCACATAGTAATCTCATGTTTCAGTCTGGATTCTGCTAACTGGCCAGAAGCCATGACAGGTCCACTTTAAAAAAAAAATAAGCTCAATGAGATGTATGTGTAAAATGGACATTGACTGAACAGCTTACTGAGTGTTCATTTAGGCAGAGAAAAATAGTCTCCTACAGACATGTCATAGCATTTCAGAAATCCTTGGCTTTTAAAGGAGCCGTGAATTTATAGCTGCCTAGAACATCTTGTTGAGCAAATTTCTTGAACACCAGCCGCTTGGTAGGTGGGCCTTCAAAGATAAATGATTTGGGTGGTGGGAAAGAAAACAGTAATATCTACCTTAAGAAAATTCTGCAAAGCTTCGTGTATTGTTGAAGTTGGCGGAGTCCCAAAAAGAGCAGCAGCTACTTTTTTCTCAATCCAAGACAACTGAGCTACCTTTGAAAAACAGGGGAAGAGAAGGGAAGGTGCGGGGAAAACACAGTTGTTTATAGATGGTTGATAAGAATAAGAAAAAATGTTATTTTGCAAGCCAAATGTCATAACAAAGTGTCTTCAAGAAAAATGTGTTGAAAATCATTTGTATAAGAGAGAGAAAAAAAGAGATGCTACAGGGGAAAAAAAGCAGTATTTTTAACATACTGTAAACTCCACCATACCAGCCAGCACAGCCAATGATCACACTAGGTGAAGGTAATAAGAATTATAGTCCATTATACACCAAGGCCATTCAGTTGTGGAAGGCTGAAATAGAGCCATATTCTATATATATCTCAAATCTCTATATTTACTTTTAGTGCTAAATTCTGTTTTTTGTTTTTAAACAGTTATTAGTATAGTAGTAGAGATGGAAGTAAAATTGAGTTTGTTCGTTAGTTAGTTTGTTTATATTCCACCTTTCTCCTTAAAAAGATACCAAGGTGGCTTACTTCATTATTTAAAATATTTAAAACCTAAAAACAGTAGGTATAAAGAAGAATTACACAAATATTACTCTAAAACGGTAATAAAATCAATATTAAAATATATTTAAAACAATAGAGCACAGCAGTCCATTAAAAACTGCCTCTCAGACAGCCAGTCACTGAGGGAAAGCTTTCCTGAAAAGTCTCTGCCTGCCTGCGGAAGGACGGACAACAAAGATGGGGCCAGCCTAGCTTCCCATGGGATTGCCAGAGCCTTGGAGCAGCAACAGAGAAGACCCTCCTATCCCGTATCCCCACCAAGTGCATCAGTGAAGGTGATGGGACCAAGAGAGAGGCCTCCCCTGCGTATCTTAAAGCCCAGGCAGTCTCACAGAATGAGATGCGGTATTTTAGACAGCTTGGACCCAAGCTCTTTAGTATCATGAACTAACAGTACCTGTAGCCTCATATTGTATAAAGAAGATCAATTTAAATCAATGGGATTTATGTTATTTTGTGACTAAGGTCCCATTCAATCTAATGCATCTAAGTAGGACTAGCATTGAAATTAGCCCTATGACATAAGAATGCATTGATGTTACTAAAAATCTACTGAGCATAATCTAACCAATATCCAAGCAAATATAAATAGGACTGGACTACAGAACAGAAACCGCAGAGGCATCAGATTATCTAATGTGATACGTATGTGAACCAAACATTTTCTCTGCCCAACACTGTAATGTAACTCCATTATGGATTGGAGTTTGCTATCTAGGGCATTCTGGGAGTTGTAGTAAAAAAACTAACTTTCCCAGGCTTTCCCTCCCGCCAACCTAGCGGTTCAAAAGCATGCAAATGCGAGTAGATAAATAGGGACCACCTCGGTGGGAAGGTAACAGCGTTCCGTGTCTAAGTCGCACTGGCCATGTGACCACGGAAGATTGTTTTCGGACAAAACGCTGGCTCTATGGCTTGGAAACGGGGATGAGCACCGCCCCCTACAGTCGAACACAACTGGACAAAAATTGTCAAGGGGAACCTTTACCTTTACCTTTACCACTGAATTCCACACTTGCAAGCACTACAATACTTATTCATGTTGATTAGCTCTTAGGGCTCAAGTTTAAACTTGGAGATGAGCTACACAGGTTTATTCAGTCTGTTAGAAGTGGTTTGCCTTAGTTACCTGCCTCAGCTTTAGGGCAGGCTATGATTACACATTTTACTTAATTACTAAAAAGATTTGCAAGTGTATGCCAACAAAGAAAACCATCAACATGGGGTGGCAAGCACTTAAATCCACACTTTCAGAGCCTCCTCCCTGCTCTTCCCATGAGAAGCCCCATTTGACAATCTTCACAGCTTCTAATTTTTGAAAATCTTGACATTTCAAACTTTTGTTTTTTTAAAAAAGGTTCTGCAATGCTTTGTGCAGCACTTGTGGTCAAAATCTTTTTTAACTTGGAACTGCTGAAATATTTTAGAATTACCATAAAGTTCAGCTGATTCAGAAGGGATACATATGGAGTGGAAATATGCTTTTATAATATTCCTGTACACTACCTAAATTTCAATACATAAATATGCACATTAAAAGAGTTTGAAGTTTTAAAACAAGTTTCAACTGTGATGTTCCAGCTTAAAGCCTTCTAATTTTTCCACTGCAGAATTTGTAACTAGCTTCTGAAAGTACAAGAACTGTTTGGCACAATATACATTTTCTTACAAAAATGAATTAAAACTCATGCTGAGAGTTTCAGCTTCAACCTTTAGCTGGCTTAGAGTTTGATCTGCATTACTCAATAAACTTATTCCAAAAGAAACAAATTTTCTAACATAGGTGCAATGGTCTCTAAAAAGAAAAAAGTAGCACAAAAATTACATTCCTTATGTTAAGTTACACAGAGATAATTGAATTAATAATGAAATATACAGTATCCAGTGTGATGTCTAATTAAAGCACCATTTTAACTCATGTTTATCATAAAATATTTCCTCTTCATTGATACTGCCAGCTGCATAAGTTCTAGGAAAGAATGCATTTAGAATTAAATCAGTAATACAAAAAGAATGCATTTGCTTATGCAGCTATGATCTGTACATATTACTGTATTTATTTGTTGCATGCAGAACTTGGAGAAGTTACTTTTAGAGGTGTGTAAATTTGTGTTTTTGGACCACATGTCCCAGAATTGTTCCTAGGAATTTTGGAGGCTTCTGGGATATTCTGCCTGGGGAAGTATGGGGATTAAAACTCAAAAACACAAAAAGGAACACTCCTAGTTACAGAATCCCCAAGCTGTCTTTCCAAGATTTGGTCACATTTCCATCCTGTCCATCTCTGAGGGCATCAAGATAGCATCCATGGGGCTCTCCTGAATTACTGTATACTGACAAGATTCCTCTGAGAAAAGGTTTGTCTAAGAGAGAAGATGACTAGTTGAGACTCATCACCCTATGGGCTCCGAGGGCATGACAATGAAAACGAAGATGGAACTTCAAATGATTCCACTGCTACTATCAGATGAGCCTCAGTGGCAAAGGAAAACTATCGACTGCATGTCAGTCTGGTTTTGAACTGAGGAGGTGATCACATGGGGAAATAGATCACATTTTGGACTGTGTGTGGAGTGGTCTGTTGCAATCTGTTTCCCAGTGTAAAGCACTCCATCCCAACTCTGATCCATGGCAAAGCTGGATCCTTTTTGTCCATCTGTAGAGCTATTACTTTTGGAGTTGGCTTGGAGTGATTCTCCAGCAGACGGAATGGTTCCTTTAAGGGAGACTATTGGCAAAACAACCCTTTCCAGTTCCAGTGCTATCACACACACCCCTTTCCACTTGTCTGATCATACTGTTGATCAAAAGGCAGCCAGCACAGGTTTTGAACTCACATATTTACTAAAAACAACAACAACCCTACAATACTTTTATTTCTACAACTTTTTCCAGGTCTTCATTATACATGCACTCAGTCAGGCTTTGTTCAGCCTAAAAATAATTCTGTGACACGAGCTAGTTAGAATGTATTTATCCAAGGTTATCTTACAAGCAGGCAATTTCCTTCATCCAAACCAAACATGGCAAATGCAGCACCACGTCAGGTCAGTAAGGGACCCCCCCCCCCCGCCAACAGTGTGATTCTAGCTGAAACGGCTTCAAAAATAAGCGTCATTGGGCTCAATGGGATTAACTTGCAGGCAAGTGTGTACAAGATTGTAGCATAATTTTGTATTGCATCTCACAATGGCTTCATCAAATCTTTTTTAACCCTACGCAATCAAGTGTGTAGAATATAGCTTCCCTGGATTTTAATAGAATCCAGGTTTCACTCGACATTTTGCTGGAGGTAAAATTTTCTCTCCTGAAATGATCTGTCTGGATTACTTGATAAGAACATTGTTTTCAGTATTCTGGCTACTTTCCAACTTAGATAGGAAATTTTCTTATCTGACCCATCAGCATTTGATACTGTTTTAGTCTTAAAGCACTGCAGTATACCAGGTAAATTTAAATAGCTTGAAACAGAGATACTAGTTATACACTGCACGTTTTTTACTGTGGAAAGGATCAGAAGACTCTAGCATGTTTACGTCTTGATTGCTAATGACTTTCAGGTACAAACTGAGACTTGTTTGATAGATTACACTTTAGGTGAAGTCTTTTAAAGTCCAAATTATCTCTTTCTGAAAGATTTTTTTTTTAAATTATAGGTTTGACATGGGGAATATTAAATGTAATGACTTCCATATTTGCTCAAACCTGAAATATATTATCAGAATTTTTGCTGTCCCTTTGTTTTGTTTAACTGTGCAAGATATTCCACACTGATTCCCTTGAAGGGCAAAATGTTAAAGAAAATAAAAGTAGGTCAAACTGAACGAAGTTGCTTAAAAAGAAATACACATCCAGAAACAACACCCTTCATCTACCAAAACCACATTGATTCACTTTCTTTCTATAAATAGTAATTACCATCTAGGACGTAAACACTCCATACTTAGCAGTTTCAATGAAGTAGCTGTGTCAACACCTATCTCAGCAAGAAGATAAATAAAGGTATTGGGGCACCTTTAAGACAATCAAATTTCTATTTTTGTGTGAGCTGTCATTGATAAAAATCAGTTTAATTAAAAAAAACTCTTCTAATAGAGGTGTGAGAGTTCTGCAAACTAAATATAACTTATGAGTGAGCTCTTCAGTACCAATGAGAGGTAAAGTGAGCACACAATACAAAGTGAGGCTGTAGCAGATTTTTTTTTTTACAATGCAGCTTACAAGGGCAAGAATGCTCATATCTTTGAAATCTAGGCTCAGGACTGCCCTTAAAAACTGCAGCCTCCGAAAATGGCCTCTATGCATTGCTGCACCAGAACAATGGAAAGTTTTAATTGTCTCCATGGCATCCCCCACCCCCAGCCTCAAATTCTCTGAGTTACATTTTAAAAAGCAGCTTTAGAGGGGTTCTTAGTCTTCCAGGACAGGCTTTTGAGTGCACAGGCGGGGGCTGCAGAGGAAAGCAGCAATAATTTCTCCCCAGTTGTTCTGGATTATGCTGTTCTACCAACGCGAGTCCAGTGTTGGGTTTTGCTTATAGGTGTTCGTGATATCATCAACACCTATACAACTAATGACATCATGAGCTGGAATACATCCAAGAAAGGCACTCCAAGACAACTTGAATGGTACCATTTACGGTATATGAAGGAGCTGGTTATGTTCCCATGCTATGAGGCACAAAGAATGAACAATACAAAATGCCTTACAGGAAGACATTACTCATCTTACATGAGCTCCACTTGTTGCTGATCTATTTCTGTGCTCAATTCAGTCTCCTATCCTTAGGGGGGAAAATCTAATCACACTGGCTGCTAGCAATGTTTCTTGAGCCCAAATCTAGAGTTTAAAGACATGCAGGGGTCTTAAGCTCCACTGACTGGCACACAGGCATGTCACACTTTTAATACATTTACAAAGTATTATGTGCATGAGTGCCAAACTATTTAGGTTTGTAGATTGTACCCAAGGGGCTTGTATGAGTGCCAATTTTCTGCAATGTCCAGAAAATCTGTTTTCATCCTAGTGCCTGTGTGAAACCAATACTTTTGATTCCAGTAGGGCAGTCCATTGGGCAAACTACTGTGCATGCTTTTCCACTGCTCATTATGAGTTCAGTACACTAGGTATTGCTTGTGCTACCAAATGCCATCTCCTGTACCTACCTCTTCTGCCAATGTTACATGGGACGAAACCCTATGTTTTATAAAATTACCGAATTGCAGAAGTGTTGCATCATGGGGCTACAACTGAGTAAATTACTTCAGGCTTACAGCACACTTACTTCATAACACCATCTTCCAGTTAGGTAATATAAAAATGGATCTTGAGGTTTAAGCTCAATGGCTTTGTCTAGATGTTCCTGTTGAGAAAGAAGATGAAAATGAAGCGGTACTCTTCTTGTTTTCACCTGTTTGGCCATAGATTAAAGCTAACAGACAATGTCATATTTGGCCAGGCAATTCAGAAATATTATAATTGACCAAAGTCATAGGTATCTTAGAACAGTGGTTCCCAATCTTTTCTGAACCACAGACTGTTTAGGAGTGTGGGGTCCCGGGGGGGGTGTCAGGGCACCCCCTGCTCACATGGGTGGGTGGGGCACCCGTGTGGGTGGGTGGACCATGCGTGGGGGGAGTGCATGCGTGGGGGGGCCGGGAGATCTGTCTTCGTGGCCCAGTCCTGTCAAGGCCACGGACTGGCACTGGACCACGGACCGAGGGTTGGGGACGCCTGCCTTAGAAGTCACAAGTTAGAACCAATACACACATCCAGGGTGTACGGGACCAAATCCTACTTAAAATCATAACCTATCAACTTCAGTCAATAACAACAGTCACATCTTCCTAATAATCCTATTTCAACTGAAATCTTTAGCAAGACTTTAAGTTATTTCAAAATAAGCAGCATTTTGAACTTGGCTATCAGCACTGAATCAACTGATGCAAGCAGACCTTAGAGTATTAACTAAAAAGATAAAAAAATCAAATGAAGAAAGTTACTGCGCATATCCTTTACAACGTCATGCTTATCTTAAGGCAATCACACTCAGGAGCAGTACAAACCTTATGGCTGCTTCACAAAGACATGTTTAAATTGTTTTGGTTTGAAAGCCTGTTCATGATGTCTGTTACGAGGATACAAAAATCATCTCCTGTTCCCAGCATAACCCTGGCACTGAAAGGTGCCCCCCCCGGCCAACTTCATTTTACTCTAAACACAGTCTCCACAACTGTCAGAACAAAGTAATTTAGTAACAGCTGCAGCTTTAAAAAGCCACCAAAAGCATACCTTAAAGAGATAGCCATTCTTGATTTTGTTCTGTATACTTTCAAACTGAGACATGTAGCCACACATCACTGCAAACCTGAAAAGAAGCAGCAACGGAAAGAGGGGAAAGGCATCAACAATTATATGCACAATAATCCCAACATAGCTGTGACCCTTTTAAAAGAACTATTCGTTACTGTATTACAATAAACCCACAATACCAAATACCTCTTTTTAAGATGTAGCCTGTACATGCATTTTCTAAAAACAGAGAGAGAATGCATTCTGCTGTTCACGTGGATTGTTTCTGCAGATGTGCAGTGTAATCAGAAGTAAGTCCCACTGAGTACAGTAGGACTTTGTGCTTAAGAAAGCATGCATAAGAATTTAGCTTTAACTAAGGCTGCGAGTATACTGACAAGCCAAACCAAACCGACTTGGCTTAGCTGCAGTTTGGTTCACAGCCTGTCTTACAGTTCAATTCGCTTTTAGTGATCACACAAGAGTTGCAATCCACATTTCAGCCCACAGCCCCCATCTCTCTTCCAGTTCTTTTATGGTTCCCTGTCAAGCTGCTTTTTTAAGGAGCTGCACAGCATTAGGGAAAAGGCAGCAGCTTTCCAAAATTCTTCATAATATACACAGAAATATGCACACATACCACAGAAACGTATGTAGTCTTCTGTATTTCATTAGGGTTGTTTCTATTTACTAGTATTTTTTTCCTGTGTGGAGGTGGTCTACCGCTTAACTAGTGTATCAATGACTCAGCGCTATACTCATTTATTAAAAGATTTTTTTTAAAAAAATCCAGGAACACTTGGGGGACAGATCACAGGGCAGGTGTTCCTGTCTCCCGAAACATCATAACTTAACTACCTACCTGACCACAACACAACCCACAGACAACCCCCCCAGTCCTTTTGCAAAAGGAAACAAGGGACAAAGTTCATTCGAATCATTGCTGCTTGAAAAAGGCAGAAGCCTTTGGGACAGAGAAAAAAATTCCACATCACGACCCAAACGAGCCAGATTCATTCAAATTAGCTTTTGCATCAAACAATCAGTGTTCAAAAAGTCAAATTCATCTGTTTTATAACTAGAGTAAACCCTGTGGTATTTGACCATGTGGTTGCAGACTAACTAATTAAAACTTCTGAAAAACTCAATATGTCTTTAACTGGACAAAGCTGTACTTTGAATAACTTTGCAATATGTATACACCAACACAAAATCTGCCCAAAACATATTTAAATATTACATTTTATTATACATGTATATACATAGTTCATTAATACATGTATCTTATAATTCATTCTCGGATAAATTTCAATACATAAAACTCTTCACTGTGAAACTCCTCAGGATATTGCTAATGACATAGCATTGTATATTTCCACAGTTATAACTAGGTTTGAAGAAGGATTATATCTTTATACAGTACACTCATATTCAACAGTCTTGCATCTGGGCCTAAAAATATAAAACTCAATAGAAAGGGGCAGAAAACAGGGGAGGGGGATTCTTCTTCATATCTATAAATTCTGTCTGATTACATCAATATGTTATCTCAAAGAAAGAAGGGAGAAATATATTTTTAGCCAACAAATTCCAGGCAACAGCTTTCAAAATTAAAATCTTTACATTTTGTATTCTGATTCAGAAAAGATATGAATTATTTGAGTGGGTTTGAACCAGTTCTTACTCCAGATGTTTTTACTATATTGCCTTCTAGAATTTTTCTCTCTCTCAACAATTGTGCTTATGTAGCTTAAGAAAGTGGGAAGATACATTTTCCATGGTTTGTGGGAACTTTTCATCCTGTATGAATAGATCAACATTCAGCCAGCCTAGCATCCTGCAGATCTCAGGTGACATTCTCAGCCATGACTATGCTGGAGCCATTTCAACAAATTAAAAGGTTTCCACTGCCCTCTGCCAGGCTCCTGGGATCCTTAGGGTTCCCTTTCCTCTGTGGAAGCCTTTGGGAGCTGCAGAACAAGGCTATGTAATTATCTAAAACTAGAAAACGGCCATCAGCAGTACTGGAACTGGGCTGAAAAGGTCACTAGAGATCCACAACATAGCTTATGTCAGTAAGATTCTGGCCACTGTGTACTTCCTTTACAATACCAATACACGTTATTCCTCTGTCTCAAAAGAGATGGCTGAAGATCCTTCAGGTGACCTATGTTCTAATGGCTACCACATCACTCCCCCAAACTGCAGACAACTGGAACTCCAGAAAATCAAGGAGTTTCAAGTATTTCAAAGAGGAAAGGGTACTAAAAACTTAATTTCCTCTAAGATACAGAAATGCAGGCAACATTTTCTCTCCAACTTCCCTCGGCTCATTAGGTGCTAATCAGATAAACTCAGCATACCATAGCTAAACGGATTGCAGCTAGAAAAGAAAACAATGAAATGCAAACAAGCTAATCCTGGGTTTCACAGAATCTCCAAGTCTGTGCGTGACAAGGGAAGAAAGGTGCTGAGTTAAACCAGTTAAGGGTGATACTTTTACATGTAAAGGCCCTTCCGGACAAATAAAAAGCTGCTTATTTTTCCCAGTGCAAAAGTCACGCTAGCTACAATCTGCCACGCACAGTGCCCTGTCTGTCTGTCAACAGAGGTGATTTCTCATAGAAGTACAGATATTCCATACATTCACATCCTCTTTTTTAGATAAAGTAATGCAACTCATCTATTCTGAAATACTGAAGAGGGCAAGCATATAGTTTGTAGGAAGTTCATTTTTAAAAAGGGAGAAAACTACTATGGGTTCAATCCAGAAACATTCAGGCTCACATCAGACATACTGAAATCAGGGGACTAAATCCCACCTGCACTATCGCCACTGAAATCATGGGACTTAACTGTGTCTCGAAAGTCCCATTCATTTCTCCTGTAATAGAACTAATGGTAGTCTTAAGGCTATGAGACTTGATTTAGTAATGAGTAACTTAAATTTCTAGCTGGTGTATCTCAATGGGCTCAAGTACCTCTTAGAATAGAAGGCCAGGTGTTCAAATCCCCCTGGACCTCTGGGAACAAGATCCAGTCAAGACTGCCTGGTGATTCTATGGCTGATGGGATTATATCCCTGCCATCGTGTAGCCTGCTGCACAGTCCAAAAGAATCACCAGAAAGAGAAACTGATAAACAATTGCCAAGTCCTTCATAGCTAGAAAACCCTCGGAGGATCAGCAAAAGTTGGAACGAACTGGACGACGCAGGTCTTTTAAATGAGACTGCCCTCTTCATCACTATGTTTGGGTCCAGTCCTACATTTTTACTTCATTCTTGCTGAAATTCTTTGAATTTTACAGAAACAAAACAAAGAACAAATGAACATTAGGGAAGTAAATAATTTTGGCCTAAATATGGTGCAGTCATGTTCGGTGATGTAAAAATCTATAGTAAACTTGGCTGTATTGTGTATTTTAAGAAGTCAACGGAAAAAGTGGCTAAGGCTGAAATCATATATACTCAGCCAGGAATAAATCCCATTGAACTCAACAAGATTTACTTCTGAGCAGGCGTGCATAACACTGCATTGCACACAACTAACAGAAATGCAATGCTTTAGTTGAATTTGCTGTGAAAATTTATTGAAAACATGAGTGGCAAAACGTGACACTAGCTGAAATCTTGTTACTTAGCATAGTGAGTTACACTAGAGCAGGCCTATTGAATCAGTGGGGATTTGGTGAGTTAACTCCTCCACAAGTTCCACTAATCCAATGGGCCTACTCTTGTGCAACTTATGCCAAGCAGCAGAATTTTAATAATTTCACATGAGCCTAGTCAGGATATGCAGCTATTTTCTGATATTACATCAAGTGAACAGGCAAATAAAGGCACAGATAATGTTTGAAAAAGGTACATAATTAAACAGAAGCACCCAAAAGTAGGGTCACTGAAATCCCTCAGTGAGAGTTAACAAAGAGAGTTCAGTCCTTTAATTGTACATTGGACTGTGGTCGTGATGGACTGTGAACTGATTTGACAACCAAGAAAGATTTGAAGTGACAAGAAAAAGAAATGGCCCTAAAAACAAAACAAAACAAAAAACTGGGGGAAAAGAATAGAAAATGTTTTGTGGCATCCAAAAGATCAACAAGTTCTATTTGGCACAAGCTTTACCATGGACCCTTCAGATACACTTCATGTAATCTCAGCAGATAGGAATATAGACAAATATAAGGGGTACTGGAGAAAACTGAAAGATGGTTTCAGCAAACTGATGGTCTTATCAGTGGTTATTAAAGGTCATTATGGGAGAAGGGACAGTGACACGTACAGATCTCAAACCTAGTTGTTCAGGGTCCTTGAAAGATGATTGGTGAGTTACAAGTATATCCATGCAGGGATGTACAGAGTAACACTCGTATGATAGAGAAAAGTTTTTGCTCAATCATGTATAAGAAAGGGAGTATGACCCGTGCAGAATGAGATTAGAAGGACTAGGTAAAAAAAAAAAAGCAATACAAATATTGCAAAGAAAAAAAAGTTGAGTACTCCACCTAATGGTCCAGACTGGAATTTGCAATCAAGTTAGACTTGCCTAGGATAGATACTCTTAGCTTTCTGAAGATGACATAGAGATATTAATCTGAAATTTTCAGGGCCTGGATTTACCACAGAGCAAGAAATCTCTGCAAAATATTGGTTTAAATTGGTATATAAGTAGTTTCTTATGTTATGTGCTGTCACGCTGAACTGACTTGGAGACTCTAATAGGACTTTAAAGATACAGTAAGTGCGATATTTAAGGAATAATTTTACTCGTTTCACACACCCCAATGAGCTTCCATACCTGAACAAGGATTCAAAACCAGGCTTCCTGAGTTCTAGTCTGTCACTCTGTCCACCACACCACACTGAATATCTAAATAAGTAACTAGTATGATTTAATATTGATTATACTGTTCTTATAGTCTATAATATTTGTACTGCGTAGAGTAAGGTGGACTTGACTCTCTCCAGATATTAAAGGACTGTAAATCACATCAGCTCTGTTCAGTATCACTAACAGGAAAGGATGATGGAGACTGTAATCCAGAAACATCTGGAAGACCTCCAGTAGCTGATCTCTGATTTAAATATACCAGAAGCACAAAACAAGTTTTCCTAAAATGAGACATGCTATAGCCTTTGAAGAGACGAAAGTAAGGTAGGTTACTATGGGTGTTCTTTCAAGTGCTTGAACCTACTCTTTTCCAGACAATTTAAACAGGAAGGAACTTCTATTTAGCTTCTGTTCTGTTCGTCACTAGAGCATCCATCCTTTGCTTCCTAATTCCTTCTAATTTTTATCTCCAAGGGACATGAAAATATGCAATGATTTTGGTGAATCCTGATTCCACTGGTACTGCTTGATCTGCTCTGGATTGGATGCACATGCAGATCCCTTATACCTTTGCTGCACTTCTGCGAGGGCTGGTTCTTGCATAAGAAAATATGCAATGATTTTGGTGAATCCTGATTTCACTGGTACTGCTTGATCTGCTTTGGATTGGATGCACATGCGGATCCCTTATACCTTTGCTGCACTTCAGCGAGGGCTGGTTCTTGCGTAAGAAGGGAAGTAATTTAATTATAGGGCAAAAGCTGTATGTCAAATGACAAAACGTCATAGGCTGATGCTACCTTGTCTCTACCTTGTCTCTACAACAACTCAGAGTTGTTTTCTTGCCAACTTTTTTTGTAAGGTTTAAAGCACCTTCCTCAACCTGCTGACTTTCACATGTTTCACTGGTACTGCTTGATCTGCTTTGGATTGGATGCACATGCGGATCCCTTATACCTTTGCTGCACTTCAGCGAGGGCTGGTTCTTGCGTAAGAAGGGAAGTAATTTAATTATAGGGCAAAAGCTGTATGTCAAATGACAAAACGTCATAGGCTGATGCTACCTTGTAGAGACTCAGAGTTGTTTTCTTGCCAACTTTTTTTGTAAGGTTTAAAGCACCTTCCTCAACCTGCTGACTTTCACATGTTTTGAGTGATAACTTCTGTCATTCCTCACAAATGGCCATGCTGATTGGGGAGAAGCTCCAAATGTATAGCAGATTCCCACGCTGGGGAAATCAAACGTAGAGGGACGTAGAAAACAAAATAAAGACAGCCCTTTGTAGGTAAAATGGTTCTTAATAACAATAACTGTGTGCCGTCAAGTTGTTCCAATTTATGGAACCTTCCCAAGGTTTTCTAGGTATGCCATTCTCAGAAATAGTTTATCATTCCCTTCTTTTGGGGGCACCCTGGGAATGTGCAGCTTTCCATGGCTAAATAGGTTGGCTCTTCTCCCTGGAGGCATAGTGAGGAATAAAATGTAGCCAGATAGCTAAACCACTGAGCTATCCAGCTAGCCAGAAATTGTTCTTAGGGAGGTCTGGGGAAGTGTCTGTTGCTGTGCATTGCTTTGGGGACCCCGGTGGACTGCACAGCAATAAATATCTTTAATTTAAAATGTAATAAATGAATATGAAATAAACAAAAATTGCTTAACTATATGTACATAGGGTTGGAAGCTGTCCCAGAAATTGGCTTAAACCTCCTGGCATGATGAAGCTGCAGGCCCATAGAGCATGTCGGATCATTTCTCTACCTGGCTCATTATAGTCTTCACTGGTTGAAAGTGGTTCTCAAGGCTTTCATGTTGGTGCCTTTCTCAGTCCTACTACAAGACAGGGACTGAACTGGTGACTTTCTGCATGCACATGCACTTCCACTGAGCTATGACCCTTCTCTGGCATTTGTATGCATTATGATAATCATGGAAGTTATTCATATGACCTCAATTCAATATGAGTCCAACTCTTCATCATGTAAACTCACCACTGGTGGCTTTCAGCAATGGATGAATCCAGGCTGATAGCATTCCCAGCTACAAGTTTTCCTGCAAAACACATATTAAAGTGTTGTTAGTATCACACATGATCTGACAATAAAGCAGAGGTGGGGAATGGACAGTCTCTAGCCATTCTCAACGGGGGCCATACGGCCCCTGAACGGCCCTGGCACGATTGAAAGGAGACACAAACTGGAAACATTTCTTCACACACCACATTATAAGGTTCATTATGCAACTTATGCAATCCTGATTCAACCTATATTTTTTTCATGTCGTGTTTAAGGCCATGTTGTTAGACTATAACTCCCATCAGGCTTAGACAGTATAGCCAATGTGAAAGCTGCAGTCCAACAATATCCAGAACGTAGGTGGGAATAATGCAGTTTGCAAGGCGATTTCTGAAGCACTTGAACCCCTCTTGGCCTCGCAAAATTTAGGGGGCAGCACCACAACTTTTAAATTAAAAAAACCTTAACATTAAAAAGCAATACAGTAAATTTTATCAGAAGTGAACTGGACAATTCCAGTTTCCTGTCTTCTGTTCTGCCACCACTCCGTTTGGGCTTGCAGGGAGAGTACGGTAGGTACAGTCCACAGCGTAGCACCTAGACCCCTCCCAACTGATCCCCATTTAGAAGTATATATATATACAGTATAGCCATTATTTCTGCAATAAGCAAAACTACATTATTTCATGAACAATATAAAGAAGTCAATCACCTTTATAACACATGTCTCTAGATTATAAAATCAATTCAAACAAGAGATCAATCTTAAAATCTTAATCACTCAGGTCCCACTGTATTCTCCCAGAAAAAAAGCCTCAGTGATTTTGGTGGGGCATGCATCCAATATAAGCTTCAGACTCTAACTGATCAGCTGCCCAAGGCCACACAGGCTGGCTCATCTCCCAGAAGGCACAAACTCCCAGCCTCTGGCTCTACAACTAACTATACAGCCTAACAGAACTTGTCCAAATAGCATAGCTCCAGTATCTCTGAACAGCATCAAGTTGGAAGAAGCTGCAGTAAGACACAACCTCAGTATATCGTCATCACAGCCATTTTGTATAGCAGCAGGAAGCACAGGTACAACAGGAGAAGCACCAACAAAATTAGAGGAGCAGGTTAGTATCAAAAGCTGAAGAGGATTTCTCATTCCAGCTCTCAATTATTTGCTCCAAGTATACCACTGAGAACCAGCATTTATTTTTAAGTGAAAGTGACCGTAATGTTCACTTCCCCATCACATCATTGTTCTGCAATATTTTCATCTGAACAATCATGTCATTCTAAATCAAGGAGGTTTACTGCTCAGCCAACCTTCAGAAGCATAGTTCTTTTTTTCTTCAGCATCTGTAGCCACCGAAAACATGTCTCCATAAGCACGGGCAAGTCTCCAAAGAAAGCCAGAAGAGTTTCTGTACTGCACATAAGTAGGATGAGATATATTAGGTTAACTACAACATTTTTCTGAAATGGATGAAATGTATCAAGACCTATGCCATTCTGTAAATAATATATTTTATTCTTCTTCAGATGAGTAAATTTCTTGTTATTTTCATATATCCATCATAGCAGTTAATATGATCGGTGTTGGGAACAGCGGTAGCAGAACCAGGTGTTTCAGTGATACTAGTATAATACTTTTGAAAAAAGTGAGCAGAATACTTCCATCCAAATGGAATGCCCATGGTGAAAACTTTTATGGAGTATGCTATTCTCCATTTTCACAAGGGGTTTTTATAACCTATTACAGAGGAATCTCTAAATGACTATCTGCATGTTTAGCTTTCCCACTTTTGACAACATCAATTTTACCTGTATTGTTATTTTAAAAGTACAGTGAGACCCTTATTTATTTATTTAAATTTTTTTATTTTAAATAAATATTTTATCTTGCCCTTCTTCTCAAAAAGAACCCAATGCAGCTTGATCCCTAGGGAAGATAATGAATGAAAGATATGCCTCTCTCCCTGCTTCAGTACTGTGTGTCTACCTTCTCTTAAAAATAAGAGATAAAGATAACAGCAAATTTATCTTTATCTCAAAGAACTTTCTCATCCCAAGGGCAGATATAAAAGGTTGTTTTGATTTTCTCATCCCAAGGGCAGATATAAAAGGATGTTTTGATTACTGTACAGAAAAAAACAATGGCATGCTTAGCTGGATCATGTTGGTGAATTCTTTTTAAAAAGGGGGGGGGCGTTTCCTCAGTCCTGTAATCTGCTCTTCTAAAACACTGGCACACCACCTCTAGCCTTGAGATGTTTTGGACATCAAGTCTCCAAAGTTCCAGCCAGCTTGGCTAATAGCCACAGATTCTAGGAATTAACACCAAAAACATCTGGAGAGTCAAAGGTGAAAGGCAAGAGGGCAGCAGCCATGCAAGTCATTCATGTAAGCGTTTGTTACAAAATTATGAATACATCTTGCATTCTGTAAGTACAGGCTAAGTTACTTGAAATCCTTCCCAAAAGAAGGTGAAGCAAATTAAAAGATAACAAGTCATTTGGCCCATGTTCTAACTCAGGCTTTACTTGCCCTTTGGCTCTTGTCTTATGGTGTTTTTGCAGTGTGCTGAAGCAGAGTTTCTTGAATTTTCTTTCTGGAAATGGCAGTAGTGGCCTTATTAGTAACTACAGTAGCATGGCTTGGTCTACATGGAGCAGACAGCACAAAGCTTTTCATGGTACTTTTGTAACACTAAAGAAAGAAGCTGCACTTCAGCAGCTCCTGCACTGGCACGTAAGAAGGAAGCCAACAACAGTGCACACACTTCTATAAAAGGACAGTGCAGAATGTCACTTCCATGTTTACCAAATAATGCAAGGGTGAACAAACTGAGGTCCACCAGATGTTCTTGAGTTGCAACCTCTAGCATTTTTCTGCCATGGTTATGCTGAGGTCTGATGGGAGTTTTAGTCCAACATCCTCTGCAGGGCTACACTTGACCCATCCATATACTAATGCATGGAGGTGCTGTCTTGGTTTGAACGTGGGTGTTTTTTTTCTCACCAGTAAGCACCTAACACTGATCTTAGTTGTAACAGTACTACTTACAGTGAGTATTGAGCACCACTGGTGAGAAATGCCAGGAAATTTTGAATACAACATACGGGAGATCACAGAACAGAAAAATTTTCATAAGATCCACACCTCCTTTCGTTCTAACACAACAGAACGATCTAAGAAAATACGGTGTAGTGCACTCAGTCTTATGATGCACTATGAAAACAGCATTAATGATATGCCCTTTATACCTTTTCCTCATTTTCACGCAAAAGTCTGAAGCTCTCTCTCTTCTCATTGTCCGAACCGCCATTCAACCTGTCCACCTCCTGAAGAAGATCACACAAATCTGTTTTCTCTTCTGATGTCAATAAAGATGTAGAGGAATTGATCCATCCTTTTTCTTCCTCAGATTCCCCTTCAGTGTCTGTATGAGCTGTAATGTAACTAAAAACACAGGAAGGGAGAAAAATGTTCTAAAGCTATCTAGAGTCAGCACTGTTACAATATAATCTTGAATTGTTTTTACTTATTACCTCTATTGTAAGAAAAACACAGTTTGTGATGGTATTACATTAATTTTAAAATATCCATACAAATTAATCCATTGTGTTGTAGCACGTAGGCTGTTGAACTTAGGAGACTTCTGTTCAAATCCCTGCTTGACCGTGGAAATGTATTAGGAGGTGGTAATGGTAAAACCACTGCTCAAATGTTTCACATATGAAATCTCATGGCATGGTAGTTAAACTGCCATACTGCAGTCAAAACTCTGCTCATAACCCAGGTTCAATCCCAGATAATCAGCTCAAGGTTCACTCAGCCTTCCAGCCTTCCAGCGATAGACTGAGTACAGTACCTAGCTTGCTGAGATAGGGGCATTAACGTGTAGCCTGCATAATTAAATTTTAAACCATGAAGAGAGTTCTGTAAGTGCTATGGGGTGGTATATAAACAGCACATACCCACCAAAATCAATTGAAGAAAGTGTGTAAAATCCTGTTGGTGTGGTTAAGCAGGTGTAAACTGGATCTGGGTGCTTGAAAAAAATTATTTGTGCTCATGAAAAGTTTCCCATCTCTCTCTTTAAGGTTCTGGGGCTCCCCATAAAAGATTTTGGCAGCCTTTAATAATCAAAAATTGTTATTAGAGCACCAGCAGTGGTCCTGATTCCAGCTTTGGTGCTCCACAATTTTTTTTAAACTACTAAAGTCTCTCCCTTCCCTGAGGCTCCCCAGGTCGAAAGGGATCCCTAGGGAGTCTCAAAACCTAAAAGGTGTGTGTGTGTGTGGTTTTTAAAGAAAACTTTCAGTTCCAATCCAATTTATGTTGTTGTAACTATGCCAACAAGATCTTGCTCACTGAATGGTGGTTGTTGTTTAGTCCTTTTTCAGCAAAGATTAAAAAATTAAAATTTTGTAATGGAACTTCAGGTTCCTACACGATATCATGAGCTTTGAAACTAGCAGCATTTCAGCACACACCAGATATTTTTTAAGAACCAGGGACATGTTAGTTTATCATGGAAGTCTGCTGTTCACTGAATCATGACCCTGAAAGGAGATAAATGGTCTCTTCTCTGCCCAAAAATTATATTTGTTTATTAAAAAAAAGATAAAGCCTTGCCCTGACAAGGCTAAAAGGCTGGGGTGGATGTTACAAAATTTATCATGAAAGTAGAGTTTAACAGATGAAGAAACACTCAAATGGGGAAGAGCCTCATGACACAGTGGTTAAATCGCTGTACTGCAGCCAAAACTGTTCAAGACCTGGGGTTCAATCCCAGGTAGCTGGCTCAAGGTTAGTAACTCAGCCTTCTATACTTCTGAGGTTGGTAAAATGAGTATCCAGCTCACCGGTGAGGGGGGATGTGTAGCTTGCATAATTAACTTGTAAACCACCCAGAGAGCACTATGGAGTAGTATACAGCGGTGCCCCGCATAGCGAAGTTAATCCGTTCCGGATTAATTGTCACTATCCGGAAACATCGCTAAACGGAACTAAAAACCCCATAGGAACACATTAA